TTGGAGTATTTTCAATAATTTCCCTCGTAAACCTTATTTCTCGCTTCCATTCAAGTTGGTCCATGTCTTCTTTTCATGGCTTGACTTGAGTCCCTTCTTAGTTATATATTTGATTATTCATCTTCTAATCTTCACAATTTAATCCTCATCATCCACAATTGATTCGTAATTTAGAAGCTTTCTTTATACTTTTCTGCCACCAAATATTCACGACAAAATATTCTTTGACTTACTGCCCAAATCAACATGTTTTTATGCTTCTCCCTAGATCCAATGGGGTCCCTCATCTTGGACATATATATTCGACTTATGCTTTGAGGCATTGCGGGGGTCGAAATCCTTTTAACTTTAAAACATTTGATCATAGATCCCCAAACGACCTCCGTGATGGGGTCAATTTGGTTGGGCCAGGACTTAGGGGGTCAACTGGGCCTCGATAAATCTCGATTGCAGATTAGGTCTCGCTCTAGTGTCTATGCTAGCTCGCCTCACACCATTTATTTCGTTAGTGTTGAGTCCAAATTGTAATCGTTAGCCTCTTCCACACTGTGAGTCAACTAAGGCATGAGGTCGACTTAGGTGTAAGTGTTGGCTTAGGCATGAGGATCAAAATAGGTGTAAAGATTAGCTTCCACAAGCAGCCTAATGTGAATAACGGTGACAATCATGAATATGACTCGTTAATGTACCTCTTGCTTTACGTGATTTCCATGTGAAAGTAGCTAGGATCCCACATAAAATGAAAGCATAACAATAATTATACAAAATATATGGTGGTAAAAATTCTAGATCATTTGAAAACACACGAATTTGTCCCTGTTTGTCTACCATTATTAATGAAAATGAGTTTTGGAAGAGTAAGGGCATGTTCTTTTTGCCGTTTTCAAGCAATTTTTTGTTTTCGATTTTTCAAAATAGTGAAAACGTGTTCTCTTTCCTATTTTCGAAAACGCGTTTTAGAAAAAAAGTTTAAAATTTATAAAGAAAACCCAAAACGAGGATGTTTTCGATTTTCTTTGTCACCCCAACCACCACCATCGCCACTTGCACCAACCACCGCTTGAAACCAAAACCACCACTGTAGCGCCGTGACATAAAATCAAGAAAAATCACTGCCGACTACCACCATCGCCACCTGCACAAACCACCGCCTAAAACCAAAACCACCATTGCAGCAGAACACCACCAACTACCAAATCGCAGCAGATCGTAGCAAAACCACCATTGTACTTAACTCAAAATCGCACCGTTCTTAGCAACAACACCCAACCCACCGTTCACAGCAGCAACCGCACCCAACCCCAACCATCGCTTGAAGTAAAAGGAGGGGAGATGTAGATAGTGAGAGAGATGGCAGAGAAGGGAAGAAGAGAGAGACGAGAGAAGGAAGGGAAATAATGAAAGTAAACGCGTTTTGGGTTTTTATATTTTTGAAAATAATTTTTTAAAATGCCAAAAAGAACACATTTTCAACAATCTCAAAATGGACACTTAAAATACAAAACACAAAATGAATTCAAAATTCAAAGCAAAAAACTGAAATACAAAGAGAATAGCCCCTAAATTTTTGGAGAATGTGTAGTTAAAAAAGTAAAAAAAAAAATTGAATTTATATATAAAATATTTTATTGTGAGAATGTGTTGTTAAAAATAATTTTAGGAAAAATGAATTTTAAAATAATGATAAACAAACAGATACTAGGGGTCAATTTTTTGAATCGTGCTATAGGTACAAGAATTTGAATTCTTGTACCAAACAGAATATACACAGCAGTGGGTGGGGTGGGAGTTTTTGCCAATATGTTAATTACACGGAGCCCATCCCATATGAGTGAAATTCAAAATTCTGTATCAATTCTGTGTATTATTTCTTGTACTCTAGCATTATTCCAATTTTTTATTAAAAGTTGAGGCATCTTTATCTTCCCAAAAAAAGTAGACGCAAGGCAATAAGACAAAAATTGATGCATCCGTTTGTCCAAACGGATAATAATAAAGGAGGAGAAATTGAGAATGCCTTGCACGTGTAAATTTGTTCTTTTTCCCCCTTATTACCAAAGATAATATTTCAACCATGCCCCGTGTACATTGTACTACGTAGCAACTTAACAATTTCATAAAAAAGAAAGACTTTCATACATAACTTTTTGAACTCCAACCAAACAACATACATACACTAATGGCATTTTTGATGTAACTGCTTGGTTTTCACTTAAGAGACCCACTTTTCACGCATCGATATACACACGCGCTTGCTGTAGCGCGTCACAACGTTCTACACACTTCCCCACCTGTAACCGCCAGGCTGCACAAACCCACGTTGGCAAAAACCATTCGATCAGAAAGCTCAATGGTCTCCACATTACACTCCCTCTAATGCTCCATTATTCTTCCCACTATAGTGTATACAGTCACTGAATCCTATATATATGCTACATAGAGAGAGAGAGAGAGAGATTGTGTGTGTCGAAACACTTGTGTGAGTTTTGAAAGTTACAGATACTAGAATTTTGGGAATTCCTAATTGTAACCTGTTCAAAAGGCTGATGCTATGAGTCTCAGGCAAAGCCAGCTGCCCACGCGCGGTCGTGGTCCGCAAGCGCGGCCGCCTCCGCAGTTTTACGAGCCCTTCAACATTATCCCTGTCAATAACATTTTGATAGACCACCCTTCCCTTCGTTATCCAGAGGTACGCGCCGCTAGCTCAGCGATACGCGCTGCTGGGGACCTTCGAAAACCGCCGTTTATGCCATGGCACGATAACATGGACCTCCTGGATTGGCTGGGGCTCTTTTTCGGGTTTCAGGGAGACAACGTCAAGAACCAGAGAGAGCATCTGGTGCTCCACTTGGCGAACTGTCAAATGCGCCTCCAGCCGCAGCCCGCCTCCGTGGACCGCCTTGACTCTGTGGTTCTTCGCCGCTTCCGGCAAAAGCTTCTGAAGAATTATACTTCCTGGTGCTCATATTTGGGGAAAAGGTCTCAAGTTCGGCTTCCAAGTCGCCACAATCCCAACCTCCAGCGTAATGAGCTCCTGTATGTATGTCTCTATTTATTGATATGGGGTGAAGCCGCGAATCTGCGCTTTGCCCCCGAATGTTTGTGCTATATATATCATCACATGGCAATGGAACTCAATTACATACTTGATGATCACATTGATGAGAATACTGGACAACTTTTTGTTCCTTCCACATGTGGTCAATTTGGTTTCTTGAATAATGTTGTTACACCATTTTATGTGACAATTAAGGGTGAGGTTGGGAGGAGTAGGAATGGCACTGCCCCACATTCAGCTTGGAGAAACTATGATGATATAAATGAGTATTTTTGGAGTAGGAGGTGTTTTCAGAGGATAAAATGGCCCATTGACCTTAACAGTAATTTTTTCTATACTGCAGAAAAGAGGGTGGGAAAGACAGGATTTGTGGAGCAACGGACATTCTGGAATGTGTTTAGGAGCTTTGATAGGTTGTGGGTTTTGTTGATATTGTTTTTTCAGGCTGCAACTATTATTGCATGGGAGGGGACTGAATATCCATGGCAGGCATTGGAGACTAGGGATGTGCAAGTTCAATTGCTTACAATTTTTATTACCTGGGCTGGTTTAAGGTTTGTTCAATCAATACTTGATGCTGGGACTCAGTATAGTTTGGTATCAAGGGACACAAAATTGCTTGGTGTGAGGATGGTTTTGAAAAGTATGGTTGCCCTTACTTGGACTATTGTGTTTGGGGTGTTCTACGGAAGGATTTGGAGCCAGAAGAACTCTAACGATGTCTGGTCTTATGAGGCAAACCAAAGAATACTCACATTTCTTAAGGCCGCTTTAGTGTTTGTCATCCCAGAGTTACTTGCACTGGTGCTGTTCATTCTTCCCTGGATTCGCAATGTGATTGAAGAAGCCGATTGGACTATATTGTACATTTTAACGTGGTGGTTTCACACCAGAATATTTGTTGGCCGAGGAGTTAGAGAGGGTCTCATTGACAACATGAAGTACTGTTTTTTCTGGGTTGCAGTGTTGGCTTCAAAATTCTCGTTTAGTTACTTTCTTCAAATCAAGCCTCTTGTTGGCCCAACAAGAGCTCTATTGAATCTCAGGAATGTCACATACAGGTGGCATGAATTCTTCACTAGCACCAACAGAATGGCAGTAGTAATGCTGTGGCTTCCCATTGTCTTGATATATCTAGTGGATATGCAAGTCTGGTATACAGTGTATTCCTCTCTTGTTGGGTCAACAATCGGATTGTTCTCGCATATAGGCGAGATTCGAAATATTAAACAGCTAAGACTTAGATTCCAGTTTTTTGCAAGTGCATTGCAGTTTAATCTGATGCCAGAGGATCAGACTCTTAGTTCTGGGGCAACGGTTGTTCACAAACTGCGCAATGCCATTCACCGGGTTAAGCTCCGATATGGCCTTGGACAGCCATACAGGAAGATTGAATCAAGCCAGGTTGAAGCTACTAGGTTTGCATTAATATGGAATGAGATAATCATAACTATGAGGGAGGAAGACCTCATAAGCGATAAAGAATTGGAGCTATTGGAACTGCCACCTAACTGTTGGGATATCAAAGTAATACGCTGGCCATGTTTTCTGCTTTGCAATGAATTGCTGCTTGCCTTGAGCCAGGCGAGAGAACTAGCAGATGTACCCGATCGGTCGGTGTGGTTACGTGTTTGCAAGAATGAGTACAGACGGTGTGCAGTCATTGAAGCTTATGATAGCATCAAATACTTGCTTCTTGAGATCATTAAATATGGTACAGACGAGCATTCAATTGCCACAAAATTTTTCATGGAGGTGGATGAATATCTTCAATTTGAGAAGTTCACAGGGGCCTATAAGACGGCGGTTTTACCTCAGATTCATGAACAATTGATATCTCTTATTGTGCTTCTTCTCATGCCTGAGAAAGATATGGGTAGAGTGGTGAACGTATTGCAGGCCTTGTACGAGCTTTCTGTTCGGGAATTTCCAAAGGTGAAGAAGTCCATGGTTCAGTTGAGGCAGGAGGGTTTGGCACCTATTAATCCAAGTAGTGATGCTGGGCTGCTTTTTGAAAATGCTATTCAATTACCTGATGCTGGAGATGCATTCTTCTACAGGCAGCTGCGACGTTTGCTCACTCTGCTTAGTTCTCGAGATTCAATGCACAACGTCCCAAAAAATATAGAGGCGAGACGGCGGATAGCTTTCTTTAGCAATTCACTATTTATGAACATGCCGCGTGCTCCGCAAGTTGAGAAGACCATGGCTTTCAGTGTCTTGACTCCTTACTATGATGAAGAAGTGGTGTATGGAAAAGAAATGCTTAGAAGTCCAAACGAAGATGGCGTTTCTACCTTGTTTTATCTGCAGAGAATTTATGAAGATGAGTGGGAAAATTTTGTGGAGCGTATGCACAGGGAAGGCTGCAATGAAAATGAAATCTGGAGCACCAAAGCAAGGGATCTCAGACTCTGGGCATCATACAGAGGCCAAACACTGTCTCGTACTGTGAGAGGGATGATGTATTACTACAGGGCTCTTAAGATGCTTTCTTTTCTTGACTCTGCACCAGAGATGGATATAAGACAAGGATCGCTAGAGATTGCTTCGCTTGGATCACAGAAACAGAATGGTAGCTTGAATGGTCTAGGCTCGGGCATGCCAAATTCTCAAAATCTCAACAGAGCAAGTAGCGGTGTGAGCTTGCTTTTTAAAGGACACGAGTTTGGTTCTGCTATGATGAAATACACTTATGTAGTCGCCTGCCAAATGTATGGGGTCCATAAGGGAAGGGGTGATGCCCGTGCAGAGGAGATCTTAAAATTGATGGAAAACAATGAGGCCCTTCGAGTTGCATATGTTGACGAGGTTTACTTGGGAAGAGACGAAGTTGAGTACTACTCTGTACTAGTGAAGCATGATCAACTACTGAATAAAGAAGTGGAAATCTATCGCATTAAGTTGCCTGGCCATCTGAAGCTTGGGGAGGGTAAACCTGAAAATCAGAACCATGCAATTATCTTTACTCGTGGTGATGCTGTTCAGACTATTGACATGAACCAAGACAATTACTTTGAGGAAGCACTCAAGATGCGGAATCTGTTGGAGGAATTTAAAATCTCTTATGGTATCAGGAAGCCAACCATTCTGGGAGTTCGTGAAAATATATTTACTGGTTCTGTGTCATCACTTGCTAAGTTCATGTCTGCTCAGGAGATGAGTTTTGTCACTCTGGGGCAACGCGTTTTAGCAAATCCTCTCAAGGTTCGCATGCACTATGGTCATCCTGATGTCTTTGATAGGTTCTGGTTTTTGACTCGAGGCGGCATCAGCAAGGCCTCGAGAGTGATTAATATAAGTGAAGATATATATGCTGGGTTCAATTGCACATTGCGAGGAGGCAACGTGACACATCATGAATACATACAAGTGGGTAAGGGACGAGATGTTGGATTAAACCAGATATCCATGTTTGAGGCCAAGGTTGCAAGTGGCAATGGTGAGCAGGTTCTGAGCAGAGATATATACAGGTTGGGTCATCGACTTGACTTTTTTCGCATGCTTTCAGTATTTTATACAACAGTGGGCTTCTTCTTTTGCAATATGATGGTTGTGATCATGGTCTACGCATTTCTGTGGGGACGTTTCTATCTTGCCCTCAGTGGAGTAGAGGAAAATATCCAAAACAGAGCCAATTCCACCAACAATGAAGCCCTTGGTGCAGTCTTAAATCAGCAGTTTATCATCCAAATTGGTGTTTTCACAGCCCTCCCAATGATTGTCGAAAACTCACTTGAACATGGGTTCCTTCCAGCAGTTTGGGATTTTATTACAATGCAGTTCCAGCTTGCTTCATTTTTCTACACTTTCTCAATGGGAACTCGTGCACATTTCTTTGGCCGAACTATTCTTCACGGGGGTGCCAAGTATCGAGCTACTGGTCGTGGTTTTGTTGTGCAGCACAAGAGCTTTGCTGAAAATTATAGGCTATATGCTCGCAGCCATTTTGTAAAGGCAATTGAACTTGGAATTATTTTAATTGTTTATGCTTCTCAAAGTCCCTTGTCTACAAATACCTTTGTTTACATTGCCATGACTATCTCAAGTTGGTTCCTTGTGCTTTCATGGATTATGTCACCCTTTGTGTTCAACCCTTCTGGCTTTGACTGGCTGAAAACTGTGTATGACTTCGATGATTTCATGAACTGGTTATGGTATAGAGGAATTTTAGTAAAAGCAGACCAGAGCTGGGAAACGTGGTGGTATGAGGAACAGGACCACTTGAGAACAACTGGTATATGGGGAAAATTGTTGGAGATTATTTTAGATCTTCGTTTCTTCTTTTTTCAATACGGAATTGTGTACCATTTGAATATTACACGTGGTAGCACAAGTATTGCAGTTTACTTGCTGTCTTGGATCTACATGATTATGGTGGTGGCTATTTATATTGTTATAGCATATGCCCGGGACAAATATGCTGCAAAGGAGCACATCTACTATAGGGTCGTTCAGTTTCTTGTTATTGTGCTGTCAGTACTCGTGATTATTTTACTTATACACTTCACTGATTTCGATTTAATCGATTTCATCAAAAGTCTACTGGCATTTGTCCCCACGGGATGGGGCATGATACAAATAGCTCTGGTGCTCAGACCTTTCCTGCAGTCGTCTGTGGTTTGGGAGACTGTAGTGTCCTTGGCTCGTTTGTATGATATGGTTTTTGGATTAATAGTTATGACTCCTTTGGCAATTCTCTCATGGATGCCTGGATTTCAACAAATGCAGACAAGGATACTTTTTAATGAAGCATTCAGCAGGGGACTCCAAATTTCTCGCATTCTTACAGGCAAAAAATCCAACATTGACTGACGTGATTAGAGGTGATATTCTCTTCTTGAATTTACTCCCTCCATTCTGTATAATTTTGAGAGTTCAATGCCACCTCATATCTGTGCTTGCAAATGCTATTATGTTCAGGCATAGAGGAAAACTGAGTAATGCTGGCCAGTGTTGAAACTAAACAATTTATGTTCAGGCATAAAATATGTAACTGAAAGAATGTATTAACCTAGATTTTAAAAAGTTACTTCGTCGATTAAAGACTATTAACCTTGATTTCAAAAGTTGACAAGTTCTGTCAAAGCTTGGATTTGGTACATCTAAGATTTTAGGTGTAAGATAGAATCTTTTCCATTCAATCCCAGTTTCTTTTAAATCAATGCTCTTTCTTTTTATACGTCTTCCAGTATTCTAATTCCAATGATAACGTCATTGGTTCCTGATCACATTGCTATATGAGAAAATAGGTAGCACTGCTTTTCTTGTTTTACAGATTGATTGAGAATCGGATATTGCATTTATATCATTTCTACTTTTTTTTCCCCCTTGACTACAAAGTTGAGCCTGAAAATATGAGGAAAGAAACTGCCACATCTCTAACATTCATTCTTCATGGAAGCCTTTAAAGACTCAAATATGTGAGCAGAGAAACAGTCAAACCAGACGAACATTTTCAACACAACTCAGTTTGCTTAATCACTGAGCCTCTAGTTGCTTTCATAGTTTAAATATGTTGTTGATGTGAATATTGAATCATCAAGTTCAAGTCACCAGGATATTATACTTGAGTGAATAAAAGAACCATAAAATAGAAAATAGCAATTTGAGATGGCATGATGTTGAGCTCGTAAATAACTTTTGACACATTGCCTTTCTAGTTTGCAAGTATTTCCAGAGAACTCTTATGTACGTACATGTGAGTAAATGGTTAAGTACGTATAAATGTACTTTTGATGTGATGCATACATTTGAAATTTGTAATCTTAATTTGAACCTAACCCTTAACTTCATTTCCAAGAAAATTTAAAAGAATTTATTCATACAATATGATGAAGGCTAAGACGTGACATATCATCTACTTCTGTTGGCCACAATGCAATTTTGATGAATCATTTACATATTGTTATAAATTGTTTTACAGATTTGCAGGTAGACTTTGAGGATACTAATAATGAGCTGTTCTACCACTGGTCTTCATCTTCACAGAATGAAGAAACCATTGTCTTGGATGCTTTGATGCAAGTTACTAGTCGAGAAGTGGGTTTAACTTATCAAGTATATTCTCCCTATTGTACATATGTAGCATGACTTGTTCATTAGTTAAATCACCAGTCATTGCATTGTTTACAGCCTCTCTTCTGCTTTCTACCTACGTTTAATAATGTACTGTATTAGATAGTCCTAGATGCTTCGTGACAAAATTTACTTGCTGTATTAGATAGTCCTAGATGCTTCGTGACAAAATTTACTTGCAGTCTTGTTTAGTTTAACATAACAAAAATTTCATACGCTCATAGCTCCTTAAATGCACAGAGAAAATGCTGCCATGGATTTTGCACTTTTGTGATTGATTTCATTTAAGGCATCGTAAAATCCTCTCATACCGGTAGTCAAGTGATTATGAATAGCATTACTTCACACAAAATTGTTCTAAGAGTAGTACAGATAACTGCTACTTATACTACAGGAAATTGTTTTATATTTACTAATTTATTATTATTGGTATCAAGTCAAACTTGTGAAATAGTTTTGAGAATATGGATGAGAAAATAATCAATCCACGGAAATCCTTCGTAGTTACACATTTTGGTGTGATCGTCTCAAATCTGGCCCTCATTACAGACTATTAAGCCCAATATCATCAAGATGCCAAAAAACTCTGAAGAGAGAGAATTGGATACATGAATTACAAGTTCCGTGAAAAAATTACAAAATGTGAGCTGAAGAAAGTCTAACTTCCGCAACTGTATGTACATACGAACCCATTTACGCGAGCCAATTTATCCAAACTTCAGTAGAAATTCCACAGAAAACCAATTCGGAAACTTTTTCACTTTAAAAAGATTCATTGGTAACTACAGGCACTTTTTCATATGCAGTGCTATGCCTATATCTCTTGGGAAGAAAGCAACACCCACCAAATCTTTGCTGCAAGTAGATGAGGGAAACAAACAGCAAACCGCCAAGGCATATAACAATATCCCAGGAGGTAGAATAGTAGTCCATTCTTGGGTTCGCATATATGTAATTGAATGACCAAGTCGAACTATGAGATCTGTAAAAGTCGTATGCATGAGGCAATAAGCGAACAAAGGTAGTCCCAATGTAAAAGGAAGGGGCGAGGGCATTCTCTTTGGCATCACAGAAAAGATTGAACAGTGTCTGTGGGAACAAAAGGCCGTCCAATATCAACCCAGCGTAGGATTTGAGATCACCCCATAAGGACAGCTGCTTATATCCAACATTGCTAACCCTCAGTGATGACCTTGGGTAAGACTTTCTTAACAGGTGGACAAACCAAGCAATCAACCCACCACCAATGTACATAGGTAAAGATAAATACAGAACTTTTTTATCAGATTTCCAGAGAGCTGTCTGGCTTTCGTCTCTGGATTTTGACGACCAGGTGAGTTGGAGAAGCCGCAATTCTAACAAGAAAGCTATCATAGTTATTACCCTTACTAGTACTTCATTCAATTCAAGCCATCCGTCACTACCAAAGTATACATTCAGATTGTTGCCATTGTTGCGGCTCACCACGAAGAGAGCTTCAAAATTCAACAACAATGGAATCAAGTGTGCTAGGCTGAGCACAAAAAGCATCATGACAGAAATGAAGGGAAGAACATTTGGTTGCCTTTTGACGTGAAATAACTGCAGACCTACAAAGATGCACGTAAGTGTATTGGAAATCAGCACCATGGTGATTTCCAGATCCATTCTCCATATGGTTTCTTTGGCTTGCGTTGCATAAATGGAACGTGAAAGAATATGAAATGGTTCAAAGTAAAAAGAGTCAGACTTAACTCGTGTGCTTTCGATAGTTCCCTTCACCACACCTCCATTTTTTGCATTCAAAGAGGGATACTGGATCTCAACTAGAATTTCACAATCTAATGAAGAGTTCCTTCCAACTTTCAAATTAGGAGACTCGTTCTGCATACACCCAACCATGCAAAGGTGTCCACTTTTAGAATCATATAACCCTTCAGCAGAAATTTCAACTGACTTGACCTGCATAAATTCATTGCTGAGCTTGAATTCAAGTGGTGCTGCAAAGCTCAACACGTAGCTGATATTAATCACACTCTTAGGGTTTTGCCTCATGTGGTCCTCCCTAGATTCAACTTCCCTTCCAAAAACTACAGATGCCCGATAAAACCTATCATCCACATAAAGTGGAGACGAGTAACCCCATGCTTCTTTGATATTCTTATTTCCAACCATCATGTCAAATCTCATGTCAGATGATTGCCCATTAGGATACGTACCCCCCTTAACCTTCTGCATTCTATTTGTACACCATCTTGTTACATTCTCAATCTCTGTAAATTCATATTTCAAACGTGCAACCTTTACATTCTTATTTTTTCTATTTGCCAATGCAATTCTGCCAAAATAACTGGACTTGTTAACATTTCTACTACTCCACATTTCCCCAACAACAGCACTCCTCTCTCTCACCGTCCACCTTGCTGGAAATCTAAAGCTCAACCTGATCATACATTCTCCAACCAAACTCCTACCAGAATCACTCAAAATGTGACAGCCAACAATGTCAAGCCTCTTCTTCTCCGCATTCCATTTTCCCTCACTAACCAAAGTCATATTCGGTTCAAAAGGCAACTGATACCCATTATACACGAGATCCCCGAAACTTAACAAATACCTCACTCTCCCATCCTCCGAACACTCAATCTCATTAAAGTTCATCAGCCTCGGTGTGAAATTACTATTGCCTCCTCCAAGAAAATCACAATTCACACTACTGCATTCACTCATATAATTCAATTCGACAACACCAGCTGATCTAATAAATTGACACACCGTTTGTCCCAAGTCCTCTACGCCTAACGAAACATTAGCCAAATCATCAAAAAAAGGAAACCCCTTATTTTTAACTTCTTTATCAATCAGTTCATACTTATAGTTCCTCAAGTTCACGCCTAGTATCTTTACATGCTTGAGGTTTAAATAATTATCATTTACATCCAAACTTTCCAACGTACCATTAACTAAACTATTAAAAATACTTGAAGAATCAGGATAATTCAGCTTTAAAACAGCATGAACAGACCTTAGTTTGCCCAAACCTGAGCCGACCATACAGACCTTTCCAGAACTCGAATCCCAATATCCATTCATCGAAAATTCCAGCACACTCAGCGCATCCCTCGGCGTCAACGGAATCCTAGGAGGTCGGTAATGCACGAGACGCAACTCCCGGTGCGTAAAATTTCCAAAATATCCCCGACCTTGAGCACCCGTTAGACGCAAGAACGCGTCGATTTTGAGTACCCCATCAGTCTTGGTTCTGTAAACTTTGCGGGTCCGCAAAAAGAGGGACCTTTGCGGATTTAGAAAATTGCCGTTCTGGGCGCTTTTCTCCATGTAATCAAAATAGGCATTGCGTAAAGTGAGGAATTTTGAGCCAGGGAGCTGGCTATTTGGGTCTGAGTCTGGGGACTTGAGTGGCTCCGGAACGACGTTGTTGCAGTGCGAGTACGGAATTTGCGGAGCCGAATAGACGGTGCCGGAAAAAATGAGGAGGAAGAAGATAGTGAATTTAGATATGTGGAATTGTTGCGGGCATATTGGGAATCTGATTACAAACATTGTTGGGTTTTCTGATGGAGGCGGAGTTTTGAGGTGGATCGACATAGACGATGAATCTTTAGTTTCGATTCAAATCTCACAGCCTACATTACATATGGTACTGTGTCGGTCCCCTCCCTCTAGAATCTCAACTTCAAGTTTGGGGCTGTAATAATAGGTGTTTAAATAATATTGTTAAACTTACGCCTCTTTTATTACTTATTCACTGAAAAAAAAAATGAAATTATCAATTAGTCACTCATCTATTCAAATGGTTATCTATTTATTATTGGAGTGAAATATTTTACTTTGATTGACAGAAATTGTCACGTAATCATCGAAAATCAGACATGATACATTGACGACATTGTTGACCTAAAAAAATAAATCAATAGAATTCTAATTACCTCTCCTCCACGTAGACGTCACCTGCGTAGTTGAACGCTTCGAGGCAAAAGTCGTTGGTCGAGAAAAATGCTTGATGACTGTTTGCNATATATATATATATATATATAAGAATACAAATAAGCAAAACCAATGGGCTGAGTCCAAACCGAAGACACGACTGCTTGATTAAACAAGCTCAATTCAATTAAATAATCAATGTCGAATCGATAAATGTAGGAGGCGCATGTCACGTAATTTATAAGTATAACAATAGTCCCCAAAGTTTGAGTTGTATCTTCATGTGCGGGTCAAACGAAATATAAACTATAAAGAGGCGAGGTCTTACAGATTGCCTCAAAAATATGAGAAACTCCAATAAGTGAGGGTTTACGAACTACTTCGAAAATATGTATAGATCTCAAATAAGTGAAAACTTACTAATTGCCTTGAGAACATAAGCCGTTCTAATATGCGAGAACTTACTAACTAATTCGAAAATATTTGTATGAGCCTGAATAAGTGAGGGTTTTCAGATTTGCTCGAAAGATGTCACATATCATTTGTCCAAATCTCGGAAATGACTCCGCTGTAATATTGAGTAAACCAACCTGCAATATAACATAATATCTCTACTGTACATATACAAAATAAATTGAGATTCATTTAACCCCTATAAATACTAATGACGATAGCGTAAATAATATTAAATTAAACTTCTCTAAGATAAAATATGTAGAGCCTATCATGTATCATAGCAAATGATATGTTGTCAATAATGAAATGAAAATATAGATAATGTGGCATATGTACTGGCTGTAATAAAATAGTGTCATAACATGCTAGAAATAATATACCACGCGTACTAGATAGCAATAATATAATACATATGCTAGCAATAATAATGTAATGTTACTAAAATACTGGTATCATATAGTCCCCCAAGTTCAAGTATAAATATTCATATAATGCGTGGACTTTTAGTTAAGGATGATGCTTTGAAGATAAGTAGTTGCGATGAAGCTAATGTAAGGATGAGGCTCTGGAGATAAGCAACTGAGGCGATACTCTGGACATATGTTGCAGAGGTGATGCTCTGAATATGTGTAGTATAGGCGATGCTCTGAATGTATAAGTAGTATAGGTGATGCTTTGAATGAAAGTAGTAAAGGCGACGTTCTCAATGTATAAGTAGCAATGGCGATGCTTTGAATATAAGTAGCCGTGATAAGCTGACATCCTTATATAGGGGTAGCGCATACATATTAAGGGCTTTGTCCATAGTGTTTGATCCAATTATGGAAGGCTTCATCTTCATAGATATTAAAGTATGCCCATCCCTCTTCATACGAAGTTGTAAATGACATCTTTGCTGATGGATGGTTCACCCATGCAAAGGGCTTCTTAAATGGTGGATAGTTTATCCATAAAAGAGATAATATAAGCTCTCTGAAGATAAGTAGATGTGACATAGCTGAACTAGAAGCAAAACTCTAAAAGATAAACAGTTGTAATGTAGTTGATGTAGAGGTGTGGTGAGGTCTTTGAAGATAGATATAGTTGTGCTATAGGTAATACAAAGGTGCGGCTCTTAGTATGCAAGCAGCTAGTGATAAGATGATGTAGAGGCATGATGAGCTCTCTTGAATATAAATGCATCTGTAATGCAACAACTCGTATAGTGAGGCATTTTCGTAGAGTGTGGAATGAATATTGAGCTGGTGGCCCGTCTCGAGATATTGAACTCTTATAAGCTGGCCTCGAAAAAGCTAGGTCTTATAGGCGTGCTCGACGATAATGAGAATCTCGAACTGGAAGCATAAGCACAATCATCTTGCATGACGAGATATCTTGAAGTGAGGAATATCTATCGAGCTAATGGCTCTCTCGAACATCGAAGACTTATAAGTTGGACTCAAGTGGACAAGGTCTTATAGCTGGGCTCGACGATAGTGAATGGTGAGGAATAAGTATCTCTCGAAGCTAAGAAATCCGCATGGTGAAATGGAGAATAAACATCTCGCGAAGCAATAGATAAACTCTCTTGAACTATCAGAGGCTTATAAGTGACCTCGGATAGACGATATCTTATAGTTAAACTCTACGATAGTGAGAGGCGAAGAATAAACATCTCTCGTTGCCAAGAATACACATATGGTAAGGTGGGAAAGAAACATCCTACGAGGTGAGGAATAAACATTTCGTGAATAACTTTCAAACTATCGTAGACTTATAAAAGACATCGGATATACGATGTCTTACAACTATGCTTGACAATAGTGAGAGGTAAGGAATAAACATCTCGCGAATTCAGAAATAAACATTTAACTAGGCAAAGAATAAACATCACGCGAGGCGAGGAATAAATATCTCACGAATATCTCTCGAACTATTAAAGACTTATAAATAGCCACGGATAGACGAGGTCTTACAACTAGGCTCAACAATAATGAGAAGCAATGAATAAGCATCTCGCGAAGCCAAGAATAAGCATCTCGCGAAGTCAGGAATAAGCATCCTGCAAGGCGAAGAATAAACTTCTTGTGAATGACTCTCGAACTATCGGAGACTTATAAGCGACCTCGGATAGACGAGGTCTTACAACTAGCCTCAACGATAGTGAGAGATGATTAATAAGTATCTCGCGAAACTAGGAATAAGCATCTGGCGAGGCAGCGGATAATCATCCCGCGAGGCAAGGAATAAACATCTCGCGAATGACTTTTAAACTATTGGAGATTTATAACCCGCCTTGGATATATGAGGACTTATAGATAAATTCAACTATAGTNGCTCAACGATAGTGAGAGGCGAGGGATAAGCATCTTATAAAGCTAGGAATAAGCATCTGGTGAGACAAAAAATAAATATCCCGCGAGGCAAGGAATAAACATTTGGAAAATAAATCTTGAACTATCGAAGACTTCTAAGCGGCCTCGGATAAACGAGGTCTTACGTCCAGGTTCAACGATAGTGAAAGGCAAGAAATAAGCATTTCACAAATCCGAAAAAGCATCGGTGAGGTAGGGAATAAACATCCCACGAGGTGAGGAATAAACATCTAGCGAATATCACTCGAACTATTAGAGACTTCAAAAGGTCTCAGATAGATGAAGTCTTATAGCTAGGCTCGAAAATAGTGAAAAACGATGAGTAAACATCTTGCAAAGTCAGGAATAAGCATCTACGAGATAGGGAATAAACATATCACTAATAGCTCTTGTACTATTGGAGACTTATAAGCCTTTGGATAGATGAGGTTTTATAGCTAGGCTCGACGATCGTGAGAGGCAAAGAATAAGCATCTCGTGAATGAGGCCATGAAAGGCTCCTTTTGCAATAGCAAACACATCGGTGATTTGCCTCTTCCATTTTTCAAGGTAAGAGAATTCTAAAATATGCCAACTCTTACTTTATTCAACGAACTAGGACTCTAAGATACTGTCTCTTTCTTTATTCAAGGAACGATAACTCATAGAATGTTGCATCTGATAATAAAAAATCCACAAGCTAGGGTTTACCTTCAATGATAAGAAAACTGTGAGCTTGGGTCGCCTTCAATAAATAAGAAATCTAGGAGGTAGGGCTCTCTTTCGAGAATAAAAAAATCACGAGTTAGAGCTTTCATTTAAAGATTCGAGGTCTTATAAGCTAGCCCGGTCATGTGAGGTCCAAGAGCTTGCTTCAAACAAACTGATATTATTCGGATGCTTGATAATGAATCCATGCATAGCTTGTAAGTTACTGGTAAAATTGCAACAAGCTTCCATGCCAGGAAACTGAAACTTTAAATTAGAAAATTCCAAGCTAAACAATTTGTCGAACACTTTGTTTGCACTTTCAAATATAATTCCTTTAGCATAAATGTAGTTTGTAGTCCATCCACGACATTATCAAGAATTGCAATAGCACAATTTCACATATCTTTCAAAATTCATCACCTTAGATATTGATTTAATTTACACACAAATCAAATGGTATAGTTCTTTAAAATCAACATATAGTAACATAATTTAGCTTCCAAGAAAACCTACCATGGCATTAAATCTTGCTTTGACATTAGCCCCCTATAATATTAAAATCCAACAACAAGTGGTATATGAAAGTTCATTTGGAACCAAAATAATTTTGCAAGATTGGCTAAGGTAGTGGAATTTGATGGTTTTAAAATGATGGCATGCATGGCCCTTATTACACCTATAAATCACATGGCATGCAAATGATGGAAGGAGTCCCACATATGCCAACTTGAAATTGATTATTCAATTGGATTGAGCTAATTAATCAAGCAACCTTGTTTTGGGCTTGGAATGCGTCAACAAAATCTTTGCCATTTTCCCTTCACGTAGGCATCACCTGCTGACTGGAACACTCCGTTAGAAGGCAAATACCACTGGTTTGACGATCATTTATACTCCGACGGTCAAGTCAACAATCGGACAAGAGATAATATGAATGCAAGAGATAGAGAGAGGATTTAGTTAGGGTTAGAGATTTCATACCCCTTTTTTTTGGTGAAGTGGACTCGCATATATAGAAAGAAATAAATGGGCCAAATATGCTAATGGATCCAAGCATAATAAATCGGGGTGAAATTAATCACCAGTGTAGAAGAAATAAATATTCGGCTCAAATGAAGATACGACATTCCGTTTACGAGGCTAAAGGGCTGGAGAAGTTTG